TTATTTGGAGCAGAGAAATTATCTCATAAATCAAATAACTTGAGATGGAAACAGTGATGACCTGTCAGTGCTTCTTTTGGTCATGAGATGCCGAGTGGGTCATTATGAAGGAAAGCCAATTCAAACCAAAAAATTAGATGACTTCAGTACACAGTTATCCTGTACTACGTAAGGATCATTATAGCAAAATAAACCCAGACACGGTCGCCAGGACGTGGATAAATAGTAACTAATTTATTTTTTTTATTTTTTTTAAGAAATTAAAAGTTTTATTCAGCAAGGACACCGTGAATTTGTAAAATTGGTAAAAAGTAACGGTTATGACATTTATTATTTCAATTTCAAACAAAAGCTATTCTTGTGAACTTTCTATTCATCAAAGAAAAAAAACACATTTCCACAAAAATATGATAATAAGAAGAAATGTTTCCTGAGCAGCAAATCGGCATGTTAGAATGATTTCTGAAGAATCATGTGACACTGAAGACTGCATCACAGGAATAAATTACATTTTAAAATATATTCAATGTAATATTCAACAAAACTGTTTTTACTGTATTTTTAGTCAAATAAATGCGGCTTTGGTGAGCATTAGAAAGTTCAATGATATGGCAAACATATATAGTAGTGTAATTGTAATTGATTATATTTAATAGTCATGCATCTTCTGGTGCTGCTAAAACAAATGTACCATATATTTTAAATATTATAGAAATAGTTATGCCTTTAAAAACAATTTCATATTGTATGTGCCATGAAATGCACAATACATCTGAATTCATCATGGCCTCAATAGACGATTGAATGTCATGCGATATTTCTTCTTTTCCTAGAATGTTGCTTTCTGTCTCCCACACACACATATGTATAAAGACACTGAACAAATGAATTCAGATACACTCACTGGACACGCAGTCTCGCTCCCTGCTGAATAGAGTCATGCTTTACAAATTGTTTAGCTGTAAAATAGCCTCATTGTTCTGAGTGGTGGGGTCAGGGCTGGACAGCTCCAATTTGTTCTCAGCACGTCAGAGCTCCAATGCACTTAAGGTCAGCTACTCTGTTCTACTGCTTTCACTGCTCTACCAGGCTCCACGATCATACTTGTTAAATAGCCTTTTGCACTAATGGTGGTGAAAAAGAAAGAAAGCTGGTGTCCTCATGACAGAAGCTGGACTAATGGACCATGCACAGATCTTATCCCAAAATGCATGTGTATGACATTTCACCCAACATAGTCCTTCACTAAAACATTGCGTGCATCAGGTCCCCACAGTTACCAGTTGATTATGTTTATCCCTTTCTGAAAAGACCAGGGTAATTGGCTCCCAGCATGTGTTGTGTTTTGCATGCTGTGTTTTTGGTGTCCACACAGGATATCTTACCTAGTTTAATGACAACTTGAATTACCATTCCTGACTTATTTTGCTTTAATAGAAACAAGACACTCACTTAGGAAAAAAATTTAGGTCATAACCTGGTTTGTATTAACTTGATGTTGAAAAGTAAATATTTACAAAATATAGCCTAATCTATGGGAGTTTGCCAAAAGATCTATTGGCGAGTTATTACATTTTGAATAAAGTTTATGGAAGCAAACAGTCCCTTTTAGGAATAATGTGTGCCAATTAATTGTTTGCAATAAGAACGGAACATGTATAGCAATGCTTCTCAACTTTTTGGACTCCAAGGCCCCCTTTGTCCAAGACATTCAAAGGCCCTGCTATCTAAGCTGATATGTACTTTATAATAAAAAGTCAATGGCTACTGTTAAAGGGGTCATATGATGTTGCTAAAAAGAACATTATTTTGTTTATTTGGTGTAATGAAATGTGTTTATGCGGTTTAAGGTTAAAAAAACACTATTTTCCACATACTTCCACATCGATTTTTACAAAGCTCATCGGTCTTGAAAGCGAGGTGTGCTCTGATTGGCCAGCTATCCAGTGCGTTGTGATTGGCCGAATACCTCAAGCGTGTGACGGAAATGTTACGCCCCTTACCATACTGTGATGCTGTCTCCCGGCACGACCAGACAAAACCAATAAAACCCATTATAAACGAGGCATTTGTTGCATCCAGTGGGGACATAATTACGGAATATAATGACTTATACTGTCTTTTTACACGCTGCGGTGGATCGCACCCCATAAACATAAAACCATGTCTGCATTTGTGATCGGAGAAATGACAAACAACAAGCGTTACTCTACACTGCTCAAAACTCGCGTTTGAATCATCAGTGGCAAATCCTTTAAATTCAAACGTACTTACAGTCTGTGAGTCAGAACAGCCGGCATTGTTGTCAACTCTACCAGGATCAGGAAACAGTCCTCCATAAAATGTGCTGCACACATCTGAATATTTGGGTTGAACTGTTCTGGAACAGTGTTGTAAATACAAATGAACTGATAACTGATTTCTAGTCGTGTCCTTCCAAAAGAGCCGGCGGCTTGAGTTTTTTTGGGGGGGGGATTGCGGCAGCCTCATGTGACGACCCCGGGCTGGACTCCGCTTCTTTCACGGTGAAAGCCGATCCGGCGATCCACAGCGCAAAGTTGATGTATTTCCTCAGCGACCAGCATGGATCAGCTTCAGGCATGACGAAGCAGATATCATCCTTTTTTAAAAGGCCAAACAAAGTAGTTTCGCTTTCACAACGAAACACACGGTAACAATAATACTACAGTGAGAATCAAAGTTACGCCTTCTTTCTTTGCGTAAACATTTGGGCGGTGTTATGCAAATCTTCCCACATCGTGACATAGATGTGTGAGAACGAGTCGTTTTAGATAGGCGTGGTTGACTCTTAACTTTTATAAAGAATATCTCTTTGGATTTGAGACTTTAGTCTTTCCAACTTTACAGATCTTCTTTATGCACCAAGAGCTTGTAACACTCCAAAGAGAAAGGAAAAATTTAAATCGGATCATATGACCTCTTTAACTGTTTGGTTACCAGCATTCTTCAAAATATCATCATCAGTTTTGTTGAGGAAAAGCTTGGCTATGCTGGTTCACCAGTAAGACTTGCACCAGACCAGCTTAAACCAGCATGGGCCAACATTGGTAGACACATAAAAAATCTGGCACTTGTATTTAAATAAAACAACCATATTGAAGATCCAACTTGTGTTCTGTTGGGAATGGGTGGTTGTGTCCTTTTTGTCTTTTTCAGTTAGAAATCTACAGAAAAACCACAGTCAGAGTCAGGATTCTGGACCAGTGTCATTGTAGGGCCAAATGAAGTGTTATTAGCAGCAGACATCAGGCAGTGCTGTATGGAGGTTGTTTGATCAGTGTTTACACATATGTTCCACACATGCATTTCATGTTTCTGTATAAATACAGTCTCTTGTGTAAAACAGTTTAATGTATTCCAGCAAGTCTTGGTGGAATCTAGTTTGGGAGTCAAAGCTCCAGACAGTGACCTATGACTGTGTCCATCATTGCTGTATGTGTTCAGGGATCCGCTATGGTTGTTATCATGGCTCAAGGACTGTTTTCTTTTATGATTTCATTCAGGAGTGCGTGATTGTGATCCATAGAGAATGAGTGGTGGTGCTGGCTTTTATTCGTGGTGTTTTTTTGAGTGTCAGATTTGAGGTGGAGGTGAGAGGAGGGGTGTCAGATCGAGAAAGGGGTCTGGGATTGTGTTCCCTTGCTCGAAACAACACAACCTGTGTGTAATTATATCCATGCTGATTGTGTGTTGAGGAAGTGTGATCCCTAGATCGGGGCTCAGGGTTTTTTGCGTGGGATGGGGGAAGGATGTGGATGAGGAAACTTCCTCCTCTGTGTGTGTCTGCAGCTGTGCGACGTTGATTACAGGAACATCTGGGTCGTCGGTTCCAGGAAATCTCACAACAAGATCTGTGGGAGGCCAGACATGATGCTATGTGTATGGGTTGATATTAATTGAAAGGACCTGATTCTGGTAATGCCACCACATACAGACTGTACAGAATGTACATTATAGTACACAATTTATATTGAATGCTGCTCTCCTGGTGTTCCCACCAGTCTTCTTTACTAGCTTAACCCATATGAACCATCTCCACTTGAAGACCACACTAGTTGAGAAGTTCTGAAGTTCTGTTATTTCAACATAGCAAAATACATTGAGAGCGGTGGACTGCACAATGCAAAATTAAAACAATGTTGAGTACAGTCTTTATCACATGTGAATGACACCATTGTAGTAAAAGACAGGTTATTCCTTAAAGGGATAGTTCACCCAAAAAATTAAAATTCTGTCATCATTTACTCACCCTCATGCTCTTCCAAATCTCTTTGAGTTTCTTTCTTCTGTTGAGCACAAAAGAAGATATTTTGAGAAATGAGGGTAAAACAGATCACAGTAGATATTGACTTCCATGGAATGACTTCCAAGTCAATGGCTTCCGTCAAGTGTTTGGTTACCCACATTCTTTGTGTAAATCAAAATCATATGTTGTGTTTAGCAGAAGAAAGAAACTCAAACAGGTTTAGAACAACATTAGGGTGAGTAAATGATGACAGAATTTTTGGGTGAACTCTTGTTAAATTAGTTTACATTAATTATGTGTAAAACTTGTTAAATTAGTGTCAAACTACTCAAACTACTGCTTTACATGTCCAGTGCTGTTTAGTATAAATGTTATTTTACATTTAAGTTTGAGGTTTCTTTTCAATGAGTCAGCGTCAGTGAGTAAAGGGTTAAGCCTTCATGTCTCCTGTCTCTGAGACAGAAAGAGAGTGAGGGTGTGGCCTGCTCTTTGGCCAAGAGCCACTCTTTCTCCCTCCTCCTCTCTCTCTCTCTCTCTCTCTCTCTCTCTGTCCATGCACGTCAGTCTGTCTGGAATAGCCCGAGCAGCAGCAGTAACAGGAAATCAGAGCGCTGTGGTTTCAGCACAATGGCAGAGCTCCACAGCTCAGCTCCCTGTAGCCTGTAGCCTGCTGAGAACACTGGAGTCGTGCTCTTCTCACCACCTGGAGAGAGTTACCCATCAGTTTACCTAAACCTACCCTCTTCCCTCTCTCTCCTTGTCTTTCTTCTTTGGTGCCTTGCAGGTGTTCCTGAAAGAAGCTTTGGAGCAGAGGCTGGAGAAGCAAAGAGAGGAGGTGCGCACAGTGGCTGGTATGGTGATCCGGGCCCACATACTAAGTTATGTGGCAAGGTTAGTGCAGATTTGTGTGTGTTTGTGTGTAAACACCCTCTGTTGAATTGGGTTGGGTGAGTTACCAAAGACTGTCGTTGTGACTTTAGTTGCTTTTTATTGAGTTGAGTGGATGGATTGCCTTAATCGAGCATGTGAATGAGATGGAAGTTTGCATCACAGAATGATTTACCAGGGCTGCGTGAAGCAGTGAATTGAGAGCAATGCAAAGTGGATTAGATTCATTATGAAAGTGCAGGGAAACAAATGAGGGATACACAATGAAAAGTCATAAAGAGTCTTTTCACTGCAAATACTGAATATTTTGCACTACATGCAAATACTGAATATTTTGCACTACATGCACAAGCTGAATTAATTTACATGCTGTTTTTTTTTTATAAATCAGGGATTTTTTTTGCCAGTTTTGAGGGATCTTGGCATAATCAGGGGTTTTATGTTGGTTTACATGTAACTTTGAGTTTCAGAAGTTTTTTTAAACTAGCTACACTGCTAGAAGAAAATTGCTTAAACTGTGCTGGTTTAGTTTGAGTATTGAGTTTTGCTGGTTTTTAAGGGGTTTTGTGAAATTGTCTACTAATCAGGCTGTGAGAACATCTGGCTGACCAACTAAAGATCATCTGGGAAAGGCTTGGAGACCAGCTTAAACTAGATAAGGCCAGCAAACCAGTTTATGATGTTTTCAGCAGGTTGCTTTGATACCACTGTAAATCAAAAACGACAAACGTCAAAATATCAACATCTGTTTTGTGTGAAGGGTCTGCTGAGACACTATGTTGGTTCCTGGCTGTTTAGTATTCATTTGCACCTCAGTCCTGATGTTATTTATGGGGTTGATGAAGTGTCTGTTTTACCTTCATTTTGTATAAAGGTCAGCATCCACAAATTCACATACATATAGACTCTTTCTGTCCAGCATTACAGGTCAGATGTGAAATTTAAGTGGCCTGGTATAAATGTATGAGAACTGTGGCACAGCTGCTCACTCAGATCAAATGACTTTTATTATCACAGACACCAACTAGCCAGAGTATTTTATATTATTGACCCTATTTCATATTTGTCACACTGATTGCTTTTTAAATGAGCTACTGGTGTGTTAATGACAGAGTTGTTTATTGAGTAATTGCTGTAATATACTCACAATTACTGTAATATCCCTGTCAAAGAATCATTATTGAAAAGCCTCAAGGGCTCACTCTCTAATGTTGTAACTCTCCCTCTCAGAAAAAACTATAAAAAAGTCCGGATCAGCACCATCACTATCCAAAAGAACTACCGCGCTCACTTCTGGAGACAAGCTTTCCTGCGTTTCCGCTCTGCTGCCGTGGTCCTCCAGAAACACATCCGCGGACAGATCGCTCGACAACTCTACCGGCAGCTCTTGGAGGAAAAACGGAGTAGAGAAGAGGAGGAGAGAATCAGAAGAGTGGAAAAAGAGAGGAGACGACAAGAGGAGCTGAGGAGGCTTGAAGAAGAGAGACTAAGACAAGAGGAAGAAAGAAAGAGGGAAGAGGAGGAGAGACAGAGGCTTCAAGAAGAGGAACGGAGAAGGAAAGAAGAGGAAGAGAAGGCTTTACGGATACAGCAGGAAGAGGAAGAGTCAAACAGGAGGCAGGAAGAGCTGAAGAACAAACAGATACTGGAGGATAGAGAGGCAGGGCACAGCAGGTAAAACACAATCCGGGCAAATGTTTGAGTTTTAATTTAGGTCATCCAAAATCTGTGTTGGCTGCTGGACTGTGCTTAATCCCTGTCTAAAAGGATTCCTTCCTGTTTTGCCTCATATTAGGAGTCTAGTGGAGAAAAATCATCACAACCACAAGGTATTATTTCTATTGGACATTTGATTTTATATTCCTGAGAGATTTTAAATCGGGAAATGATATATCTCTTGTATTGTCCTAATTTCTGTCTTCACTTACAAAAGGTCATAGTATAATAGTCATAGTGCATTGGTAAGTACAATCGTAATGCCATGGTACTGAGCTATATGGGCTATAAAGCCTCTTGAAAAGCCTAATGAGTTTGTAAAAGTAGTTTAGAAAAACTGCTTCACTGAATATTTATATTATTAAAACCAATTATTATATTATATTATATTATATTACAGTATATTATTTAATAACTTATTATATGGTGTGGAAATGTAGACACATGCAGAGAAAAAAAAAAGATATTTGATATCATAGAGACATCGGTGTCAGTAAGCCTCTCAGAATTTGGATAATATGGTCTTTTCAGGATATGGTGAGGTTAGTTCAGGTTGTAAAATGTCATGTGGTGCAACTCCCCAAAAACGTAATACTTTTATTTACATTTACATTTATTCATTTTTAAATGTAATTTATATATTATATATATTACTATTATACATAAATTTATCCATTTATGAATTAATAATAAATTACTTAAATTAAGACTTCATAAGTTGTTTTTTTTTTGTAACTTTCTTTTTATTTTTTATCTTTTAGAAAAAAAACATACAATCACATCTAAACAACAGAACAGTTAGTTGGTCACCTATAGATTCTTACAAAAAACATATTGATGGAAGTATATCTCAGATGATACAGCAGACAATAGCCATGTCAAAGAATCATAAACACAATCCATTTTTCCCAATACTGTAAGTATTTATCCATCCTTAAGTTTAATGCGAACGTCATCCTCCCCATGTTTTGGACACTGTTCACAATGTCCAACCATTCAGTCTTTGTTGGAGGTTCTAATTGTAGCCACTTTCTTGTTACAGCTTTCTTACTGGCTGCTAATAATATCTTTAAAAGGTATTTATCTTTCTTCTTCAAATGAGCTGCTAAATTGCCCAGATAAATTGTAGAAAAAGAACAATCAATTCCCTCACCGAAAATGATATGTATTACTTGTATTACCTCCTGCCAATATGACTGAATGGCTGGGCAGCTCCAGAATACATGAAAATGATCTGCCAACTGTTCCCCACATTTCCTCCAACACAGACCACTTCCATTCTCGCCAATCTGAATAGATTTTAACTTGGAGGTTGCAAAGTATCTAATAATATTTCGTCAGCAGAATTCTCTCCACATACCCGAGCTGGTAGAAGTGCATGTTAAAGCATTGTGCTTTTTGATTGGAATGTTAAAAATTCTGAATTGACAGAATGAACTGTGTATTATTGATGTGCGTCCTCACTATCGCTCCCCTTTATTCCAGAAGGACGTGTCCCACAGCCTGTGCCAGTACTCGTCTGAAGAGGAGAGTCGTCAGATGGAGGAGATCCTGCGGCTGGAGCGAGAGATTGAACGGCTGCAGAGACAGAGAGACGAAGGGGTGTCCTTGCTGAACGGTAGCTCCAGAGACGAAGTACGGCAGAAGAGGGACGCCGAGATCTACCGCCTGGAGAAAGAGGCTTCACGTGTGGCTACTGAGTTCCTGGAGATGCTGGACTTTGGAGGATTGGAGCAGTCGCTCTCCAGCGAGGAGAACCTTCATGACCCGTCAGAGACCACCGCACCTCTGGCCGAGGAGGAGGTGGATGAAGGCTTCCACGCGGACGACGAGTGTATCCCACTCCGTGACTTTCCTCTCCCAGCTGCCGTGCCCATGGACAAAGAGATTCTCTCCAGTCTTCCGCCTCCACCGCTCGCCTTTGCTGAAGGTCTGGTGGCCACGTCCTCACCTGCACGGATGGAGAGGCCAAAATCCAATTCCTCCATCAAACAAAACAGACTTTCAGACATTCCCCCCCCTCCAAATATAGCTCCACCCCCTCCTCCGCCTTCACTGCCATCAACCACAGGAGATTATGGAGTGGTGTATAAAAACGCTAGGAAGACGATAACAGAGATTGTACTGCCAGTGGAGGAAACCAGCTTCAGTATTCTGCCTGACACAGAGTCAGACTATGACCAAGAGGAGTTTGAGGAGGCGCTGGGGAGTTGTGGGGATGCAGGAAGTACTAATGACGGACACCTCACTGATGAGGAAGTGCTACATAGATCTTCCTGTACCTACAACAGCACAGACTCCTTTAGAGGAAGTTCTGACTCAGTGAGTTCACTATTTTCACACTTTGACAGTGCATTCACACTGAGAGTGACTATATTTCACTATATATAAGTATATTTCAGAACTATATTTAAAGTGCTTTTGTGAACGAATGCGAAGTTTCAGGTGAATGCAATAGTTTTGCAAGAGAATGCAAAGGTTTGTGAGCAAAAGCATTGAAACGTATTTTTCCCATCCCATCTAATTTTTTTAATCCATAAAATGGAAACCTACACTGTAAAAAAAAATGGCTGTATTTATGGTAAAAAAAATGGCAGCCTTGATTGCCAGAAATGTGATGGCATGAGATGGAATTGTATATTTTATATGCAATAGACAAAACACACACACACAAAACACCATCAGGGTAACACATGATACTAAAATAATTAATTATATAAAATATAATCATATGTGAGGTCACACAGGGACTTCTGGGCATGTCCTTTTACGGTTTCTCATAATAAATTATATGGTATTTATACATTTTATTTGGGAAAAAATGCAGTAAAATTACATATAATGTATAATGCTAAACCATTTATGTTTTTTACCATATATGTCAAGGTAACAGTCTTTTACTTTAGCTTTTTTACTTTTAGCATTTTCTCTGTAAAACGTTTATTACAGTGTATGTATTATGCATAACAACTGGATCATTGCTCACAGTTGGTCAAGAAATTGTCTTGAAATTTGATTTTGAGTTTTCCACTTTGTTGCAATCCCACTCAGGGCTCTCAAAATGTCAAAATGCCTGGTAGCCCTTCAGGTAGGCACTCTTAAGATTTTGGTTACGGCGGTACACAAAGTAGCGCTGCGCTCATAAATGCTACTTTATCAGGCGTTACAGGAAAAATGTAATGAAAATGCCATCAAAACTTTTCTGAAGACAGCCTATAATATTTAGGCCTATTCAATGAAATCAGCCTTTTGAAGTTCAGTCGCCATATTAATCCGTATAGCAATTCTTGTCTTTCCCTCCTTAAATTTAAGACCCCTTGAAATTATAATAAAGACTTTTCTTATACTATTTAAGGTATTTAAGACTTTAATGGCCTTAAGTTTGATACAACTAAACTGAAGACTTTGTAAGGACTCGCGGGAACCCTGTATTTATGATAGGGTGGTGATGCATTTGGTAGACCGACTGGAAAGCACAATAGCCCCGGGATGTCGGGCTAGTGATTTTGCGAGCCCTGCCACTGCTTGGATTACCGTAGCAGCAGATTTTAAAGACAACATCTCAGCATGTTCATCTCAGTGTCCCTCAAAGGGACTGCTGCTCAAAAATATTGATCTTAACAAATATGGGTAACTAGTTGACCTACAAACCTGTCCGTTGTTGCTTGTAGTGTTTCTACACAATTGCTGTATCAGCTGGTAGATCATGTGAGTTTCACTGTCTGTACGTCCATTAGTAGTCACTAAGGATTTGCATAAAGTTGAGGTCTGCTAATCTTTGTGGCATCTCCAACGGTCACTTTCACTCATATCGCCTTTCATTTAAAATGAGTGACTTCCAGCTGCTTTGTCACTGCAAAGTGTGAACGCCTCATAAGGCATTTGGCATGAAAGGAATATGCATTTCATCACATTTATACAGTTCAGTGTCAGGATAGTGAGATCCGGTATTGCCTGAAGCAAAACAAAAACACTCAGCACTTTGTCCTAATTCTTTCAAGACCTTTAAACTTGGCATAATACCGTAATGAATGCACTTTCAAATGCTTTATTGCTTTGGATTTCTTGTAGCTACTCATGTTTTATTTGCTAAAGCAGCATGAGGGGGGATCAGGTGAATATGATTTGATATACGTATATTGAGTCTTTGTCCCTCGGGGTATTCCCAGACTGTGCAGCGATTAGCCAATGCTTGTCACACCTGCTCCAAACACAATCCTGCAACAGCTTGATTGTTGACTCTTGGAGAATATTTGAACTCAAGAGACCTGATTCGGGTTATGTTTGGGTGTAATGTGAAACTTGACATGACAGTTAACAATGGCAGGACATTTACTGATGTCATGCTCTTTTTGTTTGGATTAACTAGTAGGATTAGACCGTGAAATGCAGATGTCCTACCGCAGCAAACACAAAATGCTCCAGAGTGTATGGTTACAGTGTAAAGAAGAGCTGTTTTAGTAAAAACATACACTGGCATTCAAACGTTTGGGGTCAGTAAGACTTTTAAAATGTTTTAAAAGAAGTCTCTTATGCTCACCAAGGCTGCATTTATTTGAGCAAATATACAGTGCTAACAGTAATATTGGGAAATATTATTACTATTTAAAATAGTAATAGTTTTCGGTTTTAGTATAATTAAAATGTAATTTTTTCCTGTGATGCGCAGCTGAATTTTCAGCATCATAACTCCAGTCTTCAGTGTCACATGATCCTTCAGAAATCATTCTAATATGCTGATTTGCTGCTTAAACATGCTTTCCACAAAAATATGAAGCAGCTTAACTGTTTTTAACACTATCAACGTTAAAAACATTTGTGCTGCTTAATATTTTTGTGGAAATTGTTTAGGATTCTTTGATGAATAGAAAGTTGAAAAGAACAGCATTTATTTGACAGAAATATTTTGTACCAATGTCGAAGTCTTTACTGCACTTTTTATCAATTTAATTAATCCTTGCTGAATAAAGTATTAATTTCTTTAAAAAATAAAAACTACAAACAGTGAATGAACAGTAGTATAGTACATTCAAAAGCCTTTTATTGACATTCACACTCCTTTTCTCCCCACAGTTCATTGACAGCAATGATGAGAATGATGGATATGTGGATACAGACGAGGAGGTGTCCAATGGTAGAGTGCATTTGCTAAACGGAAGTGGACCTCCTTATTTCCACAGCTACCTGTATATGAAAAGTGAGTGTTTCCTACCATTTACTTCCTTATTGTTTAGTTTATTCCTATATCACTAGATGATATTGCTCAAACTGAACATATCAATGGATAGAATGAGGTAAAAGATTAATATTTCATTGCACCGTGTCTTATCTTTCTTCTTTAAGGTGGACTGATGATCCCGTGGCGCAGGCGCTGGTGTGTTTTGAAAGACGAGACTTTCATGTGGTTCAGGGCAAAGCAGGATTCTCTCAAGTCAGGCTGGCTGTACAAGAAAGGTGGAGGAATGTCCACTCTGTCCCGCAGAAACTGGAAGATGCGCTGGTTCGTCCTTCGAGACTCTAAACTCATGTATTTTGAGAACGACAGTGAGGAGAAACTGAAGGGAACCATTGACATTCGAGCTACCAAGTAAGAACTCAGTGCCCAGATGTTGGTTTCACTGTAAATGACAATACATAGCTGCTGCTGCAACTGGCTGTCTGCCTCATGTTTACAAGCAAAACACCAATTGATGGAGTCCAGTTGGAGCGGTTTCCATTCTTACTGTTGCATTTCTAAGTTTTAATGATCTGTGGTGTTTCCCATAGGGAGATTTTAGACAACCATGAGAAGGAGAATGCACTGAATATTGTGACCGAGGACAGGACTTACCAGATCTATGCAGAATCTCCTGAGGATGCTAGGTACAGTTAAAATGTGTATTTATTTTATTCCAATGTGCCTGATCAATAGAGTTTATTCATTGTGTGTAAATTTAATATTCATCTGTTGTGCCCCCTAGTGTTGTAATATAACGCAACTCATGTCATATTGACTAATACCTGTCATGCTTGTGTTGCAGTGGCTGGTTCAATGTGCTGAGCCACGTCCACAGTGCCACTCCAGAACAGCTTGTGCAGATGCAGCATGAACAGGCCAACCCCAAGAACGCAGTCGTGAGTGTTCAACTCTTGCAGAAGTTAGCAAACATCTGAAATCACTTTCAACACCTTTAAGTGTTGTAAAAGTGACATGTACATTTGATTTTTACATGATGTTTCATCCTCAGGGAACACTGGATGTTGGGCTTATCGACTCTGTATGTGCCTCTGACAGTCCGGACAGGTAATGTATGATATCATGAGTGTTGAGCTTAACATTATAACATTGTATGCGTTTAATTTATTCATTTGAAATTTAATGTATAATTTTTTTTTTAAGTATTCATGATATAATGGTCGTACAGTGCTGTACTCATAAGATTTATTTTCCTCAGGCCAAACTCATTCGTTATAATCACTGCTAATCGTGTGATTCATTGCAACACTGACACGCCAGAGGAAATGCACCACTGGATCGGCCTTCTGCAGAAGCCTAAAGGAGACTCAAGAATAGACGGCCAGGAGTTCATAGTGAGAGGTGAGTCAGACCGGTCTGTACAGGATACAGAGATTTACCAGCACTGTACTTGCAACATCACTGAGGTCATAACGAATCATTGTATAAAAATGGGTGCCATTTGTGTCCTTCATACACCACTGCGGTTTTTTAAAAGAAATATTTTTACTCAGCAAGGATGCATTAAATTGATCAAAGGTGACAGGAAAGATGTCAGGGTGTCCGCGGGTCCTTAAAAAGTCTTAAATAACGTTTTCCTAATATAAGGCCTTAAAAAGTCTTAAATTCGGATTCGATGGGTCTTAAATATTTTTGGTCTCATTACCGCTAAAATATCTTCAGTCTGACGGACCTAATGACTTTACAATCATTGGACAGATCGAAGATTTTTTCTTCCCCGCAGTAAGTTACTGCTTCATCAGAGAGAATTGCAGTAAGTTAGCAGAATACAGAACACAAGCTCGCGCTGAGGCTCACTCTGTTTGTCTCGGAACAAATGAGCGTGACAGCACACATAAACGCAGAAGAAACACACTGAGGTAAAAATTCAAAATGTTTAGTTTATTCATAACATGATATAGTTAAATAACACCATGACAAGTGAGCTATTTTACTCAATATTCTCACAGCGCAAAAAAACAAACATTCAAAACAGAGTGCACGCATTACGTGAAGTCTAGTGCGCTCTGCCTGATCACTGCATGATTCAGTCTATTAAAATACATTCAGAATGATCACAAATTCAAGACATGGGGCAGAAAATGTGTATATTTATACTCCAGTTCACACGGAAGAGTGCCTTTTTTTTCTCCAAAAATTACTATATACAAATGTGATATTGATTTTTTT